TGCAAGATGATAAAGCCAATCAGTGGCAAAGAAAACGGCAAAGGTAATCAGAGTGACATTGGAATTGTTGGTTATTTTTTTCTTGACGTTGGTGATAAACAAAAGGAAAGCAACATGATAATGCAAGTTTTACTTTCGCCATCGTCATGATAAGCATTTCTCTCATTGTAAATTCAATGATTATGATGATGATGATCAACAATCAATCAACGGGAGAAAAACAACAACAAAAAAGCAATTGCAATTCTCAATGAATATGCATCATCATCATCAAATGAGAAGCAATTAGATCAACAATTTTCCTCTCGTAACTGTTAATTGCTGATTTCATTTCATCATCAACATCATCATTCAAACAATGACTGATGTTGTTGTTGTTGTATTAATACAAAAGCAGAATCACCAACAATCAACGCATTTGTTTTTCTTGAGAAAAAAGCTAAATTAATGTCAAGGGGAAACAATTAAAATTGATTAGATTAGAGTCTTAATTGAACCACATAATTGAGCTAAATTAGACTGAAAAGAATACTAAAAAACATATAATATCCTTTAAGTGTGAACATTTTTTTTTTAGACAAGAAAATTAAACGACAATAATCAAGTGAATAGTAATAGAAATGACTGAAAATCTGATGACATGGGGAACGATAATTCGGGAAAATTTCTCAAGTTAATTGTTACTTTTAATCAACTTTAGGGCCTCAAATTGTTCATCACAAATTCATCATAAAGGCAACAGTAATAATAATCATTTTCCACCCTCCGGTGGGATCATCATCATCATCATCCACTTCCTCCTTCCATCTTGGCAACTTATATTTACTTTTTTTTTCCTAACGAAGACACAATTTGATTCTCAATGTAATATTTTCCTATGGACTTTTAAATGTGTGAACCATTTGTTTACTTGTAAACAGATTGAGTATTTTTTTTAGCTTACAAAGATGATGATGATGATTGAATAATGAATGCAAAGTGAGATGAAGATGAAGATGAAACGGAAGTTGTCTTAAGATGGATAATGATGATGATGATGATTGTTTTTCTTGCTAAGATGATGTTAGTTTAACTTGTTAATGAAAAAAAAAAGTTTTCACAACGTAAACAAAACAAAATCTCATCTCAATTGTTTGATAGATTTTGGGAGTTTAGTTAATAATAAGAGAAAATTTTCTTAAAAATGATTAACTGATTGTAAGAAATCAGCATGAATGGATTAACGTAAAAATTTACTACTCAAGATGATTTACTCATTCATTCATCTTGTTCATCTTCATTATCATAACATTTTCTTGACACAACAAAAGTTTTATCTCCTTTTCGTTTGTATTTTCGTTATCATCTCACTCTTATCATCTTACACTTCCTTCTTAAAGATCCTTTTGTTTATCTTCCTTTTCTTCTGGATATGATGAGCATTTTTCTTCCTCTCTCTCTCAGCATCCTCATCACTTTACAGAAATACAAAAGAAACAAACAAAAATTAAAGCTCATTAAATCATAAGATTTTTTTTTAAATGGTCAACCTTTGATATTCAGTTAATCAAATTTCACAAAAAGTTAATCTCATTGCAAAGTCAAGTTATCATCGAGTTGATAACAATCAAATGTTGATCATCAGGAAAAGTAAAGCACAATTTTGATGGTAAACAAAATGGTAACACTATTAAGATGCTGACTGTGGACCCACAAATTACATACAGGGTGACTTCGTGTGACCGGTAAATGTGTGTGGAGGTAAAAATTTGAAGAGAGTCAACTGAGTAAACAAAAGGGATCCGGAAATGTAAGTCAATATTGAATGAACAATTTTCTGTTCAATGATCTGAACAAATTTGCAAATTCAATCCAATAGCAACATAAACAACATCCAGTAACCTTTTTGTAATATCATTTACCACCCCACTGCCCCCATCAACATGCTGTACCCACCCTTACACTCTCTCACTCTCTGTCTCTTAGCCCTTCTCCTTATGTTCATGGTGAACTTTCCGAAGCGGGAAATGCAATCATTCAAAAAAAAAACGAGCCTCATCTTTAGCTGAACAATTGATGTTTTTGGAAACAATTTGGCAAGAAAAATAAACTTGTGATCAAAGTTTCAGATTACAATTATCATGTCATAATAATGATCATCACAATACTCATGGGAATCTGATCATGTTTATCATTAATATTAAACATGAAAAGATTACAATTCATGTTCCCATGGTCAGTATTGTGCCCATTATATGATTATAAAAACAAACAAAATATAAAAAATTAAAGTAAATGACAAACTTAATTATCTTAATAATTTAACTTGATTACTTGTTTACCTCTCTTTTTCAAATTTCCAAGCCCTGAATTCATCATCACACTGATCATCATCATGAATTATTGCTTCAAGCATGATAAGTAAGTAGTTGTGATGGAAATTAATCAATATCATCATGATATTTGTATAAAGAGAAAAAAAAAGTTCTTAAGCTGAGAAACCACAATTTAAGATGTTACCTGATTGATGAATATTCATTTGGAATGGAATTAATTTTTTTTCTCTCTTCTACCTGTTCTCTTTATCAATAAGATGAATTCTGAATAATCAATTGAATTACTTATTCACCTTTAATCGGATTAATGAATTCAAAGTTCAGAGTGAAAGTTTATTCAAAATTTAAGCAATTGTGAATATCTAATATATATGAAATATATATACGATAAAGTTGAGTTGACTTTATGCCCTCCGGCGACATTATTATATTATTATTGTTTACTATTAGTTTTATATATTGTTTAATATGTAATATAAAAGGTAAATGATGATTATGATGATGATAATCAGCCCACAGGTAAGCAATAACTACTATTATTAACATTATCAAATTGTTTCGTGCTCTATCTTGTTACTACTCTCTAAGGGCGTGGGTCAAAGGAATGACCTGTGAACTTGATATTTAGACCATAATAATGATGATAATCATCAATTGAATGAAAAAAAAACAAAAGTTTTACAGGTAATTTACTCATGTATATGGAAACATCTTGAACAATTTACTAATTGTAATTACATGGCTCTTGTTGTCTCTTAAATGAACAATCATGATTGAGGGGAAAATGTTATTAAGGTTTTAATTTTGTGATTAGTTTGGTTTATCTTCTAGTTGATTAACTTTAATTGATTACAATTAGTTAATTCGTCTCATATAGTGTTGTCTCATCATCATCATTTATCCGGAAGGTTAAAAACTCATCTTTTAATTAACTGTTTACTTGGTCTCTTAGTAAAGACACACAAAAACATTACATTACAAATAAAGATAATTATAACTTTTAGCCAATTATTTTCTAGTTTTCATTGATTATTAACTAATCACATTGATGATCAACTAATTTATCACCAAAATTAGTGAAAGTATTAATATCCGAAAGGTAATCAAGGTAAAACAACAACAACAACAACGGGCAGAAGGTCAAGTTATCCGTTGTTGTTTTCTTGCTCGTTTCTCTTGATTGACTGACCATTAGTTGTAAACGAAGCTTTTAATTTTAGGTTTACCTGTAACCTTAAACTGCTCTTTAACTTATCATCCTCATCTTCATCTTTTACCTATTGTTGGAATAATTTTTTCTTCTTCTCTCCATTATGATTACCTGACAGGTAGAAGATGAAACAAAAGCATATAAGCATATACAAGAAACATCCCGAAAAACAGTCAAAATAAGAAAACTGAATTAAAGTGATGATCATGATGAAGGTAATATAAGATGATAATAGACTGATTATTGAACTTAATTTTATATCCATCATCATCATTATCATCATCAATTTAGGTAAAATTCAGGGTAAGAATGAACAAAAAATAAGTCTAAGAGTGAAATAAGAAACTACTGCTTCTTCAATGATATTAAGGTAATGGTAATAATCTTGTTAATGGTAATCACATTTTCATTATATTATCGAGTTAATTACTAAAGTGATTAATTAATAACATAATAAAGTTTAATTGCATTGTATGTGTGTGTGTGATTATTAATTGCTACAGGAATTACTTAGTAATTCAATTGCCACGGAAAGCAATTAATGGTATCATTTGTATTTAGCAAATATTATCAACGATTATTACAAAAATTATATCAATATAAAGATAATGGTAATAAATGAATTGATATAATTTAACCTATGTTGACATTGGCTATTTTGTCTTAATGATTATGATTCACTTTTCATCATTAATTGTTATCATTATCAAGGTAACATGAAACTGATTATCAACATGGAAGATACAAATTGTTTCTGTTGTTTATTTCATAATCAACTAGAGACTCATTAAGATGATGATGAACTAAATATCTAACAAAATGGTAGATATTGTTGCATGAAAAGATGATAACTGGATGATAAGTGAAGAAAAATATGAGAAGAGAGAGAGATGATGACGATGATGATGATGATGAGGAAGAAAAAGAAAGTATCATATTGCTCATCGTTCTCAGAATTATCTGATTCGTAGAAGAAATTTTTTCCTTCATCAATTATCATCTTCACATCTTAAAGATACTTTTTTTTATCATTTTCATCATTAAGTTCTTGATGATGATGATGAACAATCAGTTATCATTATTGATACCGAAAAAAAGTTAACCCAATTTCTTGTCATTTCATCTTTAATCCTAATCTTGATGTTCATCCTCATCATGTTACCATGAAATTATTACATTGACTCGGTTTATTTAAGACAAAACAAAAGTAACTTGAGATGATGATGAATCTTATACCACCCAGTTAGCTGAGTTTCCCTGACAAAACTGAACAATCTCACCATATCCAAGTGTTGTTACTGTTAATTGTTGATTATAAATATTAAATATTGAAGATGAAGACTTAAAATGAATCATTAAAATCATTGATAGTTTTAAAATCAATAGAAATCAAAGTAAAATAATAATAATAAAAAAAACGTAATAAAATTTTCAAAGTGACTTTTATGTTTACCAAGAATTAAATTATCTTTAGTTGATTATCTTGATATCATTTATTATCACCATACAGAAAATTTTATCTAATATCATAAAATTATTATCGTTTATCATTTGAAATCATAAACGATTATTAAACAATTAAGCTTATTAACATGGATGTTTATTCACAATCTAATATCTTGGTTTCCTTTGGTTTTATGTTCTTGACCAATTAATCAATTAGATGATGATAATTATAAGTGACCACAACCTTGACCAAATTAAGCGTATTATTTTTCGTGCTTTATTGATTTTCTTTATTCAATTGGTCAATTTTTGATCGATTCTCACCAATTTCGGATTTGGCGATAATTAATTATGTTAATAGATTGAAGGGAAACCCTGGTTACCTGTTACAATGCGATTAAACTAACTGATTGTTTAGAATTGATTAGATTAAGAGTGATGACCAAAACAAAGAATTGAGATCAAAAGAAATCAGGTTAACTCATTTTTTGTTTTCTCTTTTCACCCTAGACCTTCAATCTCACCTGAAGGTTGTCTAATAATCTCTGGTGATATTTTATCAAATGTTAACATGATTTCGTTACAATTGGAACATTATTTCATCTTTGATTCTTGAACGAAAAGCTCATTAATTCTTGTCAACTGAATTGAAGATTTTGTGATTTTTTTTCTCGTTTCATTAATCGTATCAACGAAGCCCTCGAGGGATTTGATTACTCGGTCGTTTCAACATGAAGAATGTTTTGTTTTTCTGTTTTATTTTAATTGTTCACATTTGCCTAATTGGTTGTACATCTTTACCAATCAACATGACAACCTTGCGACAAACTAGGATCACATCGTGGTTACAGCGTTGGAATCTCAGTCGATTTACTGAAATGTTGCCTTCGTTTCCTGATTTAATGTCACTAATTAGCTCAGTAATTGGACCTATTGGCCTGGCAACTTATTCTCTTGAAACTATTTTACCAGCATTGGTTAAGCCAAGTTATGATTACATTGTGATCGGCGGAGGAACAGCGGGATCAGTGTTGGCGAATAGACTATCTGAAGATGGAAAAAATCGTGTCTTATTGATCGAAGCGGGTTCCAAAGAGCCGGATATTAACTCAATTCCATTTGTTCATCAGTTTCTTCGTAAAACAGATACTGATTGGTCATATCAGTCAACACCACAGGTTCGATCTGGTTGGGGTTTAAAAGGTCATAAAATTCCAATACCTCGAGGTAAAATGATCGGTGGAAGTTCAAGTCAAGGCTCTATGATCTATTCGAGAGGTTCACCTAAAGATTACGATCGATGGAAATCATTAGGTGTCAATGGCTGGTCGTTCGCTGATGTTTTCCCTTATTTCATAAAAGCCGAAGGAGCGACTTCGTTGTGGGACTTTGAACCTGGTTATCATGGACTAACAGGTCGAAGCAAAGTGACACAATATTCAACCCCATTGACCGTTGAGACTTCCTTCTTGGTGCTATTAGAGAGGCTGGTTGGACGATCAATGATTATAACGGCAAAAATCAGACCACATTCGCGTTCGCACAGTTTAATATCGATGAGGGAAGTCGCATCTCTGCGGGAAAAGCTTACCTGTCTGATGCATCTTCGAGGCCAAATCTTGACATTGTTCTTGATTCTAAAGTTATACGAATTTTATTTGACGATAAAAAGACTGCAACTGGTGTTGAATTTGTTTCTTCAAGGATCAATTACATCGTCACGGCAACAAAAGAGGTCATTTTATCTGCTGGAGCAATTAACTCACCGCAAATTCTTATGCTCTCCGGGATCGGACCTAAAGATCACCTTGAATCTCATGGAATAAAAGTCTTGCACGATTCTCCTGGTGTTGGATTAAATTTGCAAGATCATCCGATGACCATGATTCCTTTTTTAACAGAAAAAGGTTCAAGTTTTGTTTACAATCGAGTCTTTGAACTGTTCAACAGTTTGTACAGATATGTCACTGAACGGAAAGGTATCATCGCCAGTCCAGGTTCTAATATTGTTGGTTTTTATCGAACCAAATTTGCGGATGATCGGCCAGATATTCAGTTCCAAATTGAGGGAACCGCATTTGGAGCAGCACTTCCAACATCCTTCTTAGGTTTGTACAATTGAATCGATCTCTCAAATCGAAGATAATAAAACTTTTCTTTTCTGCAGGTTCAATATTCAATTTTCGTCAAGATCTCATCGATCGCTATTTAGCACCGAACGGACGTTCTGATGGCTTCTCTATTTATCCAATTTTGCTTAATCCAAAAAGCAAAGGAACCGTTAGACTGTCGTCAAATAGTCCAAACGATCCTCCGCTCATTGATTTTAATCTTTTCGAGAATGAAAGAGACATCGAAAGGTTAGTCGAAGGATGTAAACAGGCCATTCGAATTGGTTCAATGCCTTCATTGGTCAGAATTAATTCCCGTCGATTTCCTGGTTCACCTGGACTATGTGGACAATATGAACTCGTAACCGATGATTATTTCAAATGTTATGTCCAAACGTTAACGGCGACAAATAATCATCCCGTTGGTACAATTAGAATGGGATCTCAAGAGGATAAAATGTCACCTTTGGACAATAAATTGAAAGTTAAAGGTGTTGATAAACTGCGAGTTGTTGATGCATCGGTTTTACCTGAGATTATCTCAGGTAATTTAAATGCTCCCGTTATGATGATTGCGGAGAAAGCAGCTGATCTGATTCTCGGTGTAACTAAATTGAAACCATCGTTACCACCAATTCAATTGTAATTGAAATCTCACAATAACAAGTAAACTTTATAATAATTATCATTAAGTTTCATTTTCTGCTGTAAATAATTAATAAATACAAATATCTTTTCAATTACACTAGATTTGAGCTAATTGTTGATCATCTTAGAGATGGTAATTATTTCAATACATCTTGAATCGCAGTAATTATATGATGATGATGATGATGATGATGATTGAATGATTATTGTTTAGTTAACAATTTGAATTTCAATTAACTTATCACTTATATTATCCAATATCAAACTCGAGAAACTTTTATTATTATTATTATTTGTTTATTGTTTATTATCCTTGATCCTTGATTATTATTATTATCCAATGGATATTATATATTTTATTACCAATTGACTTTATTTTTTACCTTGTAAATTGTTGATTATCATTGACGATGATTAAGGTATGATGATAATAAAAGTGATAATAATCATGTTGATTACTATGTTAAAGTAATAATTTGAAACTCATCAAGTTTATCAATTCAAGCCTTAAGGTTAACTCATAATGTGTTGTCAATCTTGGTGAACAATTAATTGATTGTGATACATGATTAACATTGTTTTTAATTTTAATTCTCCCCTTCTCTCTCTCTCTCTCTTAATGATTGATGATTTTAGTTTAACAATCTTAATTTATTGTTGACAATCAAAGTGATATTTAGGTCGCATCATTATTAATAACAATCAACATGTTGACAATTACCAAATTAACCGATTGAGATGCAATTGAAAACAAAAACTTAATCATCTTTGATTGTTAATTGTTGATAAATGTTACAACTGTCTAACTAATTACTTGGCACATTGAAAATTACAAAAGGTTAATTAATGTTGATTTGATTCTCGGAGATAAAATAATAATAATAATAATAAAATGGTTAATTCTTAATCGTTAAAGTGTAAATATTAAATGCCACCTTCATTGAGGATCAGGATGAGTGGTGATCGAGTCCGTTGTTTTTAATCATGTTAATTATAATCAAGATGATGAGATGATAATGATAAATAAACAAATTATGCAAAAATTATTGAGCAAAAAAAGGTTATTAAAAGGGCGTTAGAATACCACCAGGTGTCTCTCTTTCTATTTCTCTTTCATTAGCATCCTCATCATCATGATTTAATAATAATCATCATCATTAATACATAATCAACTAGAATATGAATATTATTTTTATGGTTTATCAACGTTTTTTAAAACCTTCGGCTCGCGACGTTGATCATGCTTAGAATATAATTAAAGCCGCTTTAGTTGATGATGATCATGTTCTGCCGCCAACGCTACAAGAGAGAGAGAGAGAGAGAGAGAAACATCTAATTAAATTATCTCTTTAATATTGAATTTAATGATTACTATTATCATTAAATGTGCTCAGTGAGTACAAACATTTTGTAAAATTAGGTAGACTTTGTTTTTCCACTTCCACTCTTACTTCAACCACCATCACTATTGTAAAGAGTGGATTGAAGATGAGAGAGAAAGAGAGAGAGAGAGAGAGAGGAAAAGGGAGAGAGGGGCAACACCCACTTCTTTGTAGCCGTGAAATTGAAAGCCTATCATTAGAAAAAACAATGATGATGGAAGAAGAAGAATCTTCATCTTCTCTTGACAATTTGCTTTACCATCGTAATCAACTTACAAGCTTTTTCTGCATATTCTGCTTATGGGAAGGTCTCCATCTCTCTTACTTTTCTTCTCTTCATTTCTATCATCATTTTGCTCTTCTTCTTCTTCTGGACATAACCATTATCTGTTAGAGAAGAGAGAGAGAGAGAGAGAGACCAAGAGCTCTTATACAAAGTTTATATAAACTCGTAGTTACTGGTAACCTGCCAACAATAATCTAAACTTACGCCTCTCTCTCAAGAAGATAAAACAATTTACCTGAAATAGAGATGATGATGAAGATGAGGACAGATAGAAATAGATGATATTAGATGGATGAATGGATCAGAGGAAGAAGAAGAGAAGGGGCGAAGTGGGAGGAATTTTAAGTTTTTTTTCTTCCATTCTCTTCATCTTTCCATTACTATGGTGGAAAATAATTACAGTGATTTTGTCGTAGAAAATGGATGATAAAGAGAAGAAAAAGAAAATTGATTCGCCCTTTTCCTTCCTCTTTCTCAATAATGATGAGAATTCACTAATTCCATAGATATGAACACCTACCTTGTCTATTTCATTATCTTAATTCATTAGCCATCGGTCAGTATAATGGTCAGTCTAATGTCAATTTGCAAATGTTACTTTTCATCTGCAAATGAAAACAACTAATTGGAATGTAAATTATTTCCATTGATTAAACCTAATCAACTCTCTTAATACTATTGATTTTTACCCCTTTTCCTCATCATCATCATCATCATCATCATCATTATCATTGAAATCATCATGAAAATTATCATTAATATTACATGATAATCATTAGCATTATTTATTTCATTCAATTCATTTCATTTGGTTGCTATTTTTACCTTGATCAATGTTAGTATTTTTGTTATTAAATTTGATCAACAACTTGTTATTTTAATTGAGATATCAAATTTGATTCATTAATCTAATGATTGTCGTTTACTATTACTCTTTAATCATCGTATTAAAATTTAAATCATTAATGTAAATGATTGTTTCTTATTATTACCAATGGTCAGTACATGTTGGGTCAATTACTTCAAAAATATGAATACAAACCTTGAATTTTGAATTGTTTTTTCTTGCTTGGTATATATGAAGTTTTCATCATAATCAACAGGCTATATTACTAATTGTATCTTTGCATGATTGGCAAACAATCAACAACAATTAAGATGTAAGAATATCAAATGTTATTATTGATGAAATGATTAAGACACACACTCCTTATTAAACCATCATTCTAATTACTGAATGGTCAGAATCATCCGCATCTTCATCATTAATCCCACATCTTTTCTGGTTCCGTATCAATTGAATATTCAATTAGCTTTTTATTGATCAATCCAATTGAGTTAATTATCGTCTCTTGTCTTCCTCCTCCTCCTTCAACCTTACCTGTAATAACATCACGTGATAATTAACTCTTAATGATGATTGTTGATCACCATCATCATCACAATAATTATCATGAAAACCACATCACAATTAAGAAAACAGCAGCAAAGTATAATAATAACATCATTAGATTTGATAATGAAAATTGAGCTGATTAACTTAAATTTTTTGTTTTGTTTTCAAGATCATTTTATTAAATTAATGATATTTAATTCAGTTTAAATTTTGATTTAAAGCAATTAAACTTTTGATTGCACTTTTCTTATACTTTTACAATGATTAACATCCTACATGATTGTTTAAATCAACTTTAAGTTAATTTTTTATTTCATCTTAACTGTTAATTGCATTATTATCACAATCAATTTATATGATGATGATGATGATTACTACTTAATTAAATGATAACTTCATTCAAACACATTTAGAATAAATTTTTTTGCTTTCACAATTAACTTACCCGGTAATTAAAGTTTCCAATTGGTTAAGTTAATTAGCTTGAGGGGACAGACAGAAATGACAATCAAAGCTTTGTCTTTATTGTGATTTAATGTAAATGTTAATATCAACGGCAGATATTGAATATCTTCCTGTGGATAAATATATTATAATTCAAGGTAATTCCTCTCAATCAGCTGAGAAAGTTCAGAGAAACCGGAAATAGAATGTTTAGATTTTCATTCTTCATTCTTAGAGATATTGAGAGCGAAAAAAATTTTCTCAAGTTTGTTTGAGTTTCCAATTGAAAGTCAAGTAATATTTCATATCCAACAAGTGACACTGAGAGTGGGGATGATACAGAAATGAATACCACCACCACCGACATTTAAGGCTTAATAGTTATATTATACATGGAAACAAGAGAAATACATATATGAATTACCATTTGGAAGAAATAAGTTATCATGAATCCTGAATTATCGATTCAGTGTTATCATTGATAATAAAAGTTTCTCACAACAACTACCACTTCCACCTACACACATACCCCACCCTGAAGGTTCCTCTCTCTCTCTTTCTCATCCTTTGTTCATGTGTATATTTTGTATTCTATCAACGACAATCAATCGATGGATTAACCAGAAAGAACCTAATGTATATCAATTTAACAAAGAACTGACTATGGATAAAAAGAAGATAAGGAAGAGAGAGAGAGACTCTCTCTCTCTCTCTCTCTTCACTTATCTTATTCCTCTTCTTCATCTCTTTCTTTTCTTACTCTAGTCTCACATTTCACTTTTCTCTGTACATAAACAGTTTCTCATCCATTCTTGTTACTCAGTTGTTGTTGTTTCTATTTCTCTGGTTGCTGTTGTTGTCGGTGTTGATGTTAAAGATGAAGATGAAGGATGATAAGGATGAAGATGAGGATGAGGATGTAATAGAGTAAAAAAAGATATCACTTTTGGATGAGAATTTTTTTTATCTTTTTCTTCATCTTATCTTGTTTTCTTTTCTTCTTCTTCTTCTTCATCATCTATTTTTACTCTTCCACCCTCTAACCACCTCCACAGACAAACTTTCAATTTCCACCATGAACATAATCATCATCGTCATCATATCTTCAAGTAATCATGTTGTAATCAACTGTATTAGTTACATTATTTGATTCATCATCGCCATGTAATCATCAGTTGATCGTCTAATTGAAATAAATGATTCCAATGATAAATCAACAATAATAATATGGAAACAATTGAAATCTAATGTTTACTTTTTTTCTAGTTCTTGTTTATCCAATCACTTTTCCAAACAATGATTAATTGTTAATTTAATTTGTTACAATAAAGCTACAATTACATTAAGAAGCTAATTGTTGTTCATTTTGTTTAATCATCTCTTTTTTTTATTAAATTGAGATTAATTGTAGATTAACTTGATTGTTATGAAATCTTAAGATGAGACAAAAATTAATTAATCTCAAATAACTTTACATAGTTTATTGTTGATTAACAAGATAATCCAATGGTAAACTTAAAACAATCAATCAATTAGCTACTTTTACTTGTTAAACTAATCAAAGTTTTCAATCAAAATCTTTCAACATGATTAACTAATTTAAAGATTCAGATGATTATCAATTAAATGTCATAGTGATTAACATTTGGTGTATGTGTTGATTTCTCACCATGAAAATAA